CCCATGGGCTTAGTGATCTTTTTGGGGCAATTTAAATCACTCCTCATGAAGCTTTGCTAGCCCAACTATTGCTAAAATGGTGGTATGCCGCATTCCTTCACCTCAAGTCTGAAGTCCTCCCATAAGCAAACAATAAAACAGCTGGACCTCCTAAGGCCAACCATGAACCCTAGTAGCCAACCATTCAAATACAATGTGCAGTCCCCAACCAATCCAGTCATGTCAACCAAGGGTGAGTTTTGCAATACCAGTGGTACCACATGATGGATTCACCACCTAAATGAATTAAAGCAATTCGAACCCTCGTGAAGCAGGTTTTCATGATATTTGAAATATCTCTCAGCTTTATAGATCCAAGGGACCAGATCCTCACCCGAGTACATAGGGAAGTAAAGCTTAGTGATCCAACCTGGAAAATTGTCATTCCACCATGCCCTTCCATTACTAGAACCCTCATTGTCACTATCCTTAACCGAAGAGCTCAACATCCTTCCAAACTAAGTCACCATCATTGATAGTCTCTTTGATATCCTTTAGGTCGTCAATAACCTTATGGAGGTCAACTTCAATTCTATCAACTCTTTTTTCCATTGGAACAGATCTGGTAATGGTCATCATAGGTGAGGCTCCAATACCAATTGATAACATCCAGTATTAACTGAATTACTCAAACAATTACATATGTAAGCCACTTTAAGGGGCTCAATCCTCTGGAAATAGAAAAGATGAGTTGAAAAGAGGGAAAGAGGGAAAGAAAGAGAGGGAGAAGAGAATTAAAGGGAATCTCGATACCCTTCTTTAGTTCGTCCAGATCTGGATTTGGCTACTGATAGCCTCATTACAACCAAAGAATCACACCAATTGCAGGCTTTGGTTCTTGTATGGGTTAGTTTGAGTGGCGTGACTTCCTCATGTACATATACTTAATAAGAGGTCTTCTTGCCTAGGTCGGTGTTAAAGACTGGGACAAGGATTAAATGATGATGATGATCTGTATCATATGGAGCGCCTACTCAAAAGAGATTTTTGACCAAAGATAACCTTAATGTGGTTTAAAATGTCCAATATTTCCTAATATTTCAATAGTGTACTTCCATTTTCATGGGTAGGGATCATTATTAAGTGTAATGGGTGTATTGGTAAAAAATTAGGCTTACAAGCTTGACAATGAAGGTTTGAGTTCCATGGGTACAGTTATAAAATATTACTAGTGTAGGTAAGGTGGCAGCTAGGTTAGGGAAGTGGTCTCTTTGAAAGACAGAGAAAGACCGGAGGTCAAGGGGATTGAATCTAAAGCTAGGGCGTCAAGCCGGGATGATAGAGTTGGGAGTCAATGATAAGGATACTTGATAGCTGAAAATTTCATTATGAGGAGGATCTCTATTTATGGGGGAGATCCCAATATCCTAAAAGGAATGAGCTAAAGGTGCTCATTTCCTATTAGGAAAGGGAATATTGGGTTTGTTGTCAATCATTAAGGGCACTACTGGGGTTTCACCACGTGTCCCTATGGGGATCTTTTCGAGGATCGGCTTTCCTTTCACTCGGAGATCCTCGTAACTCACATGTGCTACTACCTCTTGTGTGCCTTACTTAACTGACATGGCGCTAGTGATGTCACCGTCTGGCAGACGACATCTTATTAGACTTACGTGGTGCCTTGTCACGTTCTTCCCTTCAACATTACGCGCGCAAGTGGCATCTGGACACGGTTCTTAGTGGATCGTGGTGCCGCAGCGATTGAGGGTTTATCGCATGGCCGAGTGTGTGTGAACCTCATCGCAAGTTCAACCCAGGTTTGCTTTGGCTCGAGCTAAGAATGGGCTCATCGAGAGCATGCGATGAACCGCGGGTTTATCAGGGTCCTGTGATGCGGACCGTGGGTTCATCGCAGTGGGAAGGTTGGCTGCAGACTGATTGCAAGCGTCCATATGGTATCAATGTGGTGTTTACTGTGCTCTGAAGGACTGAGTGAGCACTATATACCTACAACTAGAGGTCAACACATCCCCCATTAAAAACTACTAGCATAGTTTTCAAGGCGCCAAGGTGAGGCTAGGTGATAGGGGAGCGCCTTGTCACCTAGGGCCTGTTTGTTTGCTCTGAAGTCTGACATCTGAAAGTGTAATAATTACATTAAGAGGTATATTGGTATTAGTGAACTTTTCTTTCCTCTAAACTCTAAATGCAGAGAATGTTGCTCTGAATTCTGAATTCTAAAAACTATCAAATATCCATTTTGACCCCATATATGAAAGTTTTTGTTTGTCTTTTTAGGGGTATCATTGAAAAACAAAAAAGTTGTATGATTGCACTTTAAGAGATAAGAGATAAGAGGAAACGAACAACCAATTTTCTCTTAAAGTTAAAAGGTTCCTCTTAAGAAATAAGAATTAAGAGGAAACGAATAGGTCCCTAGTCGCCTAGGCAGGCGCCTAGGAGATGGATTATTTTAAGTAAAAAACATACATCCTAGGGTAGTTCCCTAGGTTCCATAACCATATTTCCTTAATAATTATCCATAATTTTCATAAGAAAAATATAAACTTCATGCTAAAGTATAGAAGATCAACATATTCATAAGAAAAAGAAGAAAGAAAATAAAATTCAAAAAATATGGGATCTGAACCCCTATTTTGTTATAGGAAAAGAAGAAAATACAGCATTTAGCAATGTTTGTGTTGATTAAACCTTAACAAATAAGAAAATAATAAAAGGAAATTAGTATGTAAACGCACAAAATGAATATTTTAGTTTAATAATGTCTATTTTATAATTATAATCTCAAAAAATTATGAATATAAAAGTATTTTATAACACAATGTACAAAACTACTTGGCAATTAGCGAGGTGAACCTCCAAGGGCACCTTGTTGGTTGTCACCTTGACAAATATGATTACCAACAATGATATGTGGTGTATAACTATATACAAGATGGTATCATTACAAATATGAGGAACAATGGTATTATCGCCAATGTAATGGAGATAATGGCTACTTTGAGCCAGCTCAAAATTTTATTTGGAGGTAGTGTTAAATCTTAGTTTTGTTTGTGTGATAGATTAATTGGTTAAACCAATGTTCAGAGAACCGAACCAGGCATAGAACCGGAGAAGGGAGAGGTTCATGGTTCGGAGGTTTGACTGGGGTCGAACCGTAATGACATGGCATATACATATATATACTACGAGACATATAAATACTATATATAATACATTTTGCAACTCTTAATGTTATAATGTACTTGAATATCGTGGATGGATGGTAAACTTCTTAATTTTTAAAGCAAATGACTATGGTTCAAACCTTTTAACTTACATTTTCTTTAAAATATGTGCATAATTATGTAATATATACAATAAATAGTCATTACTTAGCATAAGTAAAGAGGTGGATAAGTGGTAATTAAGTAATTTGTGAAAATAAGAGGTCTTGGGTTCAAATCTTATTAACAACATTTTAAAAATTCACTTATGTATGGATCCGGGCGGTTTCATGAAATCGGGACCGGTTCACCGGTTTTCAGGTTAAAACGGCCGCTCAGCCGGTTTTCAGGAGGTTTTGAGCAAGTCTGGTTATTGGGGTGTGACCGAACCGGCCAGAGCCCCGGGTTACGGTTCAACCAGTTTGACCGGCCGGTCTGGTCTGATTTTCTAAACACTGGGTTAAACCTATTAGAATCATTTGTACTTTATGTCAGTTTAAATTTTGATTGAACTTGGTCCATTATGTAGTTTTAACTCCTAAAGTCAACAGGACAAGTTCATAGCATATTATTTTGTCCATTAAACTTAGTTTCTTGGTTCTATTTGATGGTTCGGAACAGGAGAATAATCTAAAAGGGTGTACATGTGCTTATTTTATCATTTCATAAAATACAGTTGTACATTTTTGCATATTTTATAAGTTCTGCTATGTTTATAATTGTTACAGTATTTCCATATGACATTTCCAACATATTAAACATATTTCCTATACTTTTTTTGATAAATGAAGATCATATTATTAAACACTTAAAAGACTACATAACAAAAGGTCCAACCAAACAGGAGAGGAGTTCCACAAACAAAAACTATCAGTGAATTTGGCCTTCTGAGCCACAAGATGAGAAACGTATTTCCTATACTTGTATGACCAACATTTCCACTGATACTGACATTTTAAACCTTGAACGAATCTTACATCTGAGGAGAAAAATCAAAAAAAGTGAAGGTGTGTTGTGTGCCACAGAACCAGAAAAATACAGCATCTCCTAATACATTGCAACTTCTCAAACAGTAATGTCATTTTGTTGAACTCTCCGATCAGCAGCGAGTCATTCCAGGTAATCTGGTAAGTTCATTCTTGGCTTACAATGGACTTTAGCAAGAAACGTGGTATTTTGTGGAACCTAACTCCCTTTGCCATATAATGGTGTATACTGTATATGGAAATAGAGGGACACGTGGTACAACTTGTCATGTACCCTCCAGGAAGTGCATATTATTTAGAAGTCCCAAAAGCAATGTCAGCCTCGAAACCCAGCGTTTCTCCATGAGTGCGTGTGTCTTTATGTGTGAGAGAAAGATTGTTCTGTTGTTGAGGGAATAATCACATTCACATGGAACTCACAAGTTTACAACGTCAAGGCGGATATACCCAACGATGTTTCACAATAATACTAAAACAACCCATAAAACACGAACCAAATGCTAATTCTATCGAAATTATGAAAAAGAGGAAAGAAAACGTAAAGGCATTTATGCTTTATGCCAATCCTAGACAGCTAATGTTCACAAAAACACAAACGAGCAACAAAGGAATTTGACGTTTTAGTTTCTTACATTGTTCTTTTATTGCGTGAAGAAGGGATTCAAAGATGGGTCTGTGACACCAAAACTCAAACACTCCTTGACCATAATTTATTATTTTCCAGTTGAATTTCTAAACGACAATAAAGACAGACTACAAAGCCCTAGAACAGTAAGCATAAAGACAGGGTTAAGTTCGAAAGACCAACCTGATTCAAAATGAAGCTCTTGCCCTGACGAGCTCGACCGCAAACCGAGACAACCCCAATAGGTCCATTGACGAGCTGGAGCACGGCCACGGCCTCAGGGTCCATCCTGAACTTGCCCTTCTCATCGCAATAGACAAGTCGAAGCGGCCTAGCGGGGCCCGTAGCGACTACAGTCGACGAGGAAGTGGAACGAGGGACGGATTGAGGAGAAGTGTCGATTTTGTCTGTAGAGGCAGACGAGCTGCCTCTACCCCATAACTTCTGCATCATCTTCTCCCTAACGATTTACTGGCTTCTTTGTTTTCAAGTTTTCTCTTTTCTAAATTCTGATAGAGTGAGGAATAGAAGGAGAGATCTTGAAGGTAGTGATATTTTAAAATGGCGGAGGGAAGCTCAGGAGCCTATGGGTTTCTTTTATTGAAGAGCCCTACTGCTTAGTGCTTACAGTTAATGTTAAGTTCTTTTTCGTATTTACAATTACAAAATTGTCTCTCTTGGGATCTTGAATCGGCTTTAATTATTGGTCTTTAATTAGAAAGGTGAGGGTGTTTTAGTCAGTAAAAGAAGAAGACAGCTGGTTATAAACCTGGTCACGAGCACGACACGTGATACAAAGAATGTCAATGTAGTGAGACTCGGACCGGACGTTCAAACCGTTTGGACCACAACCAATTCCCAAAGTTGGTTATATACTTATTATTATTGAAATTTTTTAATTTAATTTATTATATTTATTGTATTTATTATATTTTTGTTATAAGTTATTGATTAATATTTATTAGAGATTAAATTATTATTTGAGATTATACTATTTATTAACCAGATTAATATATTTTTAGTACTTATTGTATTTTTCATTATCAATATAATTTCAATAATTGTGTATTTTTACTATAAATTTTCAATAATTATTGGAGATTAAACTATTGATATTTATCAAAGATATGACTATTAATTTAGCTAAAATTATGAGTGTTCATGAGTTGGTTTAGTTCGGTCATAGGCTATTTGGCCAACCAAATTGACCTGGTCAGGTTAAGGAGTTGGTCAACTGAAGCCAACTAACCTTTTGTGAAAACCGACCCACTCAAGTTGTATCGGTTTGGGTCGGTTTTTTGCTTTAGTCAATCTCTTCAAAAGATTTAAACTTAAAAATTTAATTTAATTTTAAAAATTACAGTGCAATTATTAAAAAATAAATTTAAAATTTAGATTTATTATATAAAATATTTTAGACTAAGAAATATGGAAAATTTCTCACTTTTTCCGTATTAAAAATTATATTTAAAATATAAAATATTAACATATATTCATGGTTAGGTCGTTCGATTTTGGTTGGTTTACAAATGGCCAAAGTGAAACTGATCCAACTTGGTCGAATTGGAAAATTTTTTAACTAAAGCCAACCTAAAATGCTAGAAAACCGACCAACTCTGGTCGAGTTAATCGGGTTGGTCAGTTTCATTAGTTTGATAAATAAACTTAATTAAAATTAATTATTGTTATTTTTGTATTATAAAAATTTTATTAAAAGTAATATATAAAATATGAATAATTATTAATTATTTAAAAATTGAAAATATAAAACAATTGTATATTGCTATGTGTTTCTATTAGGGTCATTTATTAGAACACACTTTTAGAGATGGCAATTTTCCCCATCCTCAACGGGGACCCGACTTCCCCAACCCGATGGGCTGGGGATGGGGTTTGTTTTGGCGGGCCGGGGGTGGGGGTGGGGACGGGGATTAATAGGAATCCTTGGCCGAGGTCATGGTCGGGGTCGGGGATGGGAATTGAGGTCCCTGCCCTGCCCCGACCCATATATATATATATGTATATCAAAACATATTTAAAACATTATTTATAATTTAAAATTTTATTTATTTTAAATAAATATATTTAAAAAAATACTATTATCTAAAAACATTTTGGGGATTTGGGTCCCCATGGGGAACCCATCCCCATCGGGAATTGGGGATGGGGTTAATTTTAGAATCGGGGTCAGGGATGGGGAATATGATCCCCACCCCATTGTCATTCCTACACACCATATAGTTTTACATATTTACTTAAACCTATCTTATAGTTTTCATTTTACTAAAACATCCCATATATTTTACCACTTACTTAATCAACCTTTCATTAAGAAGTGTTTGTTTTGCCATTAGGCCCATGATTTTTTATTCAAAAAATACCCTTAACACTTTTTTGTATACAAAAATTGACCAAATATAGCCAATAGAGTGGTTGCCCATGTCTTATTAAGGGTAAAAATGGTACTTTTATTTTTATTTTCTTTTGATTAAATTTATTTAAATGAACATTAGGGTCAACAYTGTMATTTTCCAYTATYATCTAATGGAAGATTGATTAAATCCATTGCAAATTATAAGTGGTATTTTAGTAAAATACTAATTATAGGGTAGATTTTAGTAAATTCATGAAACTATAAGGGATATTTTATTATATTGACCCTTTCTATTATTTAACTTTCTCTTAATAAATCTTGTGCATTGCACGGGTCCCGCTAGTGTTTTATTAGAGTGGTTCTCAAATACGGCTTCCATGAGAGGTGAGTAAACTGAGTTCAGATCTATGCCCCACAATGTCCCACAACACATTCCTGTCGTGTATTGGGAACATCTCCCGATGATAGTACCAAAATCGATCGGGAGATGTTCCCAATACATGACGGGGATGTGATGTGGGACATTGTTGGGCGTAGATGTGAACTCGAGTAAACTAGACCAAGGAAAACATTAAGACTATGTTATCTTGTAAAGGTTTCCTTGTCTTTCCCTTCCTTTCCCTACATTTTCTTTCAAACCAAACATAGCCTAATGTAACCTACCATTGCATACTTGAAAATTACAAATACAATGATTGGATCATTGCATACTTGGATGAATCATGAATGAAATATGAAAATGGAATAATGTTAATAAAATATAAAAAATACAATATGGTTACAAATTGAAAATACAAAATTACATTGTTAAAAAATTAAAAAAATATATCAAATAAATTAAATAAAACTAAAAAAATTACAATAATTTGAAAAAAAAAATCTATACAAGTAGTCAAATTCATGAATCCATCATTCATGTCTTTCATCATTTACTTTGGGTGAAATATCCGGTGTAGTATCATGCCCTCCATTGTCTTGTAATCTATCTTTTGCATCTAGCCAATCCTTGAAGTAGATGCACATCTTTATGCTCTCATCGTTCATGCAGTTTCTTTTGTCATCCAACACCTTGGTACTTGCACTAAAACAAGAGTCTGATGGAACTATAGACACCGGAGGGGTTAATAGATCACGTGCCATGGAGACGGGAATCGAATAATTTTTTGAATGTTCACTCCACCAGGTTAAAATATCAAAATTATTTGATCATTCACCTAAATTAGAAAATTTTCCTTATAAATAAAAATTAAGTTCAGTAAATGAATTTGTTGTAGAATTATCATATTTTTGCCTTCTACTTATTAAATAAAAAAGTTTTTCTCTTCTTCTACTGGGCTCAAGGTCAGAAGTAGAAGAAGATGATGAACAAGTTGTAGGAATATTTCCTACAACTTCAAATTCATACAAACTGTACATTTTAAATAATAATTTATTCATTTTTTCTTTTTTATTTCCTATATCAATATTCATATTTTCATAATATGATTCAAGTAAAATATCTAAACCATCTTTCCTAATCCTAGGGTCTAATATTGTAGTTAAACAATAAAGGGGAGAAATGTTCTCCCAATATTTTTTAAATTTATTTTCCATAATTTCAACAATACATTGAAATTGTGGGTTATTTCTATGTTTTGCAAAACAATCACTAATTACCATTAATTGACAAGGTAAATTACAGCTAGTTGGATAATAAATTCTAGATAATTCATTAGTTGCATCATAAAAATGTTTTAAAAAGTCTCTTATACAGATTGTCATTTCCCAGTCTTCCTCAAATATCATATCATTAGGCATTTTTAAATTATAAAAATCAGAAAGAATTTGTATATAAGATATACAACTTTTAACATAGCATAGGTAGAAGTCTACCTATGCTTTACATATAATATAAAATGTTTTATTTTAAACCATAATTTTGGCATAAATATTTAAATTCTTGTTTTATTGCCCCTAAACTTTTTATATATATAATACAATTTCTAATTTTTGAAATATGAGTAGAAATAATATTCAAGGCATCTTGAATACATAAATTTAAGATGTGACATGCACATCTACTATGAAATAATTTACCATTTAACCATGATTTTAATTGAGATTTTAAAATATTTATTGCAGAACCATTATTTATTTTCTATTCCATAAGCATGCAAAGTATTTAAAATACTTGAAGCAATAGCTAGACATTATGTGGCCATTCAGGCCTAGTAAAACTTAAAATTATTTTATTCAAAAGCCATTTTTTATGAATGAAATGGTCGATAACACAAATATAACTAATATTAAATTTGGATGTCCAAACATCCGAAGTAATTGCAACTTTAGAACTAAAATTTTCTAACAAAGAAATTAAATTTTGTTTATATGAATAAAAAATTTTAAAACATCAATTCTTATAGTATTCTTAGAAACTTTTTTATATTGTGGGTTTATAGAACTACACAACCATTTTTCTAGCTTTGGATCTTCATCTAATATAAATGGTTGTTCTGCATGTACAATATACTTAGCAAGTTCTTGTCTCATTTTTTCTTGTGAATATTTAAAAGTACCAAAACTAGTCCCCCTCCCAATCTGTGTTTGGGTTGTTTCTCTCCCTTCATCTTCCTCTTGCTCATGTGTGAGTAGATGTTTGCTCAAATGACCCGTACCACTCTTGCTACAATAACTAAAGTCTTTCCTACATTTTTGGCAAATGGCTCTTTTCTCCTTCCCCTCAATATCCTCTACTCTAAAAACTTTCCAAATCAGGTTACTCATCTTAGAAGCCCTCCTTTTCCCCCTAGTATCACTACTACTAGGGGTGAAAGCTCCACTTCCATCGACATCAATCGCATCAGTGCTAACATTATCATGATGCGATTGAATATCATCAATGGTGAACATGTTGGGGAATTGGTTTTCAGAAGAGTCGACCATTTTCTTTTAATTCCAAAAAGATAAAAATTAATCTAATTCGACTTACCCGGATTGTCGGTTCAAAACCCCAACTTGATTTCAACGGTTGAAGCCTTTCAATGTCCAAGCCTCCCAAATTGAGATACTTGAGCTCGTTGAGCCAACCTTCTTCTTGTTGAAAGTCAAAACTTCAATAAAGTTGAGACTTGAGAATTGGAGAATGCAGAATCAGATAATCAGCTAATCAGAATTTCTCAGATTATAGATAATTGAGAATGTATAAGTATGAGAGAGTGAGAGAGAAGAGATTAAGAGAATTGT